TTGCTCAGTGGTGAGAAACTCCCCATCCCTTCCAGCTGAGGACACGTCACTGGAAAAGTCCCAGTCTGAGAAAAAAAAATCCACTGAGTAAACAAGTTGCATAGGCAGTGAAAACAGAAAGTGGAACAAAGTCAAAAGGTTTGACTTTGGCTTTAAAGGAGTTTATTTTCAGGTTAGCATTTCCTTGAATGGCATCAGCTCAAGTTCAGACAAGAAAAATCTCATTAGAGTGAAAACGGCTGGTAAACTTCACTGCTGGTATTAGGCCATTGAAAGAAAGCTCACTTATTAAAAATCTAGGATTTCAACCTGGGAGTTCTTGAATTTTCAGCTACTGAGTGTAGTAAAATGATCCCACTGACAAACCAGATACCCAGGACTGAGCAAGTTTGTGGATTTTTTTCCCTTAATTTACATGTGTTTCTAGACAAAGTCCTTAACTAAACCCTTCTGAACAACTCCCTGGGTATGGCTCTTTGTCTTGCATGCAAGTTCAGTGGTGAGAATTTTTCCAGCTTGTCTATAAAGAAAACAAGGGTAAAACTTCCTCAGTGACAATGAGACAAGAAATATAATGTTGGATAAAATTCTAGTATTCTTACCTCTCCAGCTAGCATTCATAAAAACAAAAATGCTGACATAAATTATTACCCTTCTCTAATAAAAATCTGCTTTCAACAAAGGTACTTCGTAGTAATTAATCACAGCAATGCTAACTCAAATTCTGGAAACAATTACAGTGGCAGCACATTGTAGCAGTAATTGAGGAAAATAATCAAGATAGTTTTACCTTTGCTTTTCTGCTCCCCATTAATGAGTGCTGCTGCATCCTGGCCTATGCATATGACAGTCCAACCCTGCTAGCAAACCTTTTCACATTCTCTCAGACTTGGCAAGAGGATCAATTAAGAGTCTTTGGGCAAAGAGGTTATGAGTTTTTGGTTTGTTTCTCGTATAGCTTCTAATGTGTATAAATAATAGAAGGGAATCAGAACTTCAGAAAGGTTACAAATTTTGATGAATGTTTTTCCTGTTACAAGATAAGGGTAATGTTACTGCTGTGGCAACAAGGGGCACAAGGATCTCCACTGCTAAGGTGGGAGCTCAGGCCTCAAGTCCATTGGTCACATCTCTAGTTTTGGAGCTTCAAACAACAGAGAACAACAGCAACAAAAGCTTTCCTGAAGCACTAAGCTGAAGGGGCAAATGTTAAATTCAGTCGTGTTTCAATTCCTGCATCTGACGCAGTTACTGCGTTAAGCTTTCTAAAAGAGAAGCGTCATCAATTTTCCATGTGTGCTCTTACAGGCAGGGCAGGAGGTTCCAGGATGTGGCTAGGCTGGGGACAATGCCAGAAGTACAGACAATGCTCACAAAAATGTACTAATTGGACTAATTTATAATTTTTATAGTAATGTTCTTTTCTCAAATTAATTTTCAGGTAATAAAACCAGGTTGTGACAGTATCATAAACATGATTTGCTGTTCTTTAAAAGTTGTTTTTTTTATGAGTACACTCTAGGATTGATCAGGACAAGGTAGTGTGGCATCTGACAGCCAGAACCTGTCTTATGTTGGATGACACCTATTGCAAGAGATGTCTGTCTTAACACTCCTTTCAGTTTTGGCTTACAAAGCTTGCTAGAAGAATTGACCTTACTCCTCTGGAGAGCTGTTGAAAATTTGGAAGCTTTGCAATTTTTTGTCTTTTGGTACTACAATCATGCTGTTTGAAACTATTTCAAAATAGTTGCATCTGTAATGCTAAGAAGTTTGTTCTTGGATTTAACTCACATGCTGCTCCTCACACTGGTAACTCAGTCAAGAGCCTACTCATGGGAGTAAGTACCACCTAAAAGCTGCACATTGCAGCCAAAAATATTGTATATTTTAGATACAAAACACACACAAAGATGATGCATTCACTTATTGAACATTTGATACAGTTAAGCAACACTGGGAAAAAGGTCTTAAAAGTGAAGTGTTAGTGAAGTTCATTATTGCTTTTTGTGACCATGTTTTTTCTCCACTGTAGTACGGTTCTAGCTGGTAAAGCTTCTTTAAATAGCACAAATATAGAACTGGATCAGAGTCAAGGAACAGAAAACCTCACAAACAAAGGAAGACTAAAAATGCCCTGAAAGAAGCAGAACCAACCATACCTTAATCAGAAAAAGGATTTCTACAGTCACACCTCACACTTGAAAAAAAAAATTATCAGACTAAACCAATTCCTAATGGAGTGGTGGTTCTCAGAGTAGAGAAGTCATTCCTAGTCCACAAATAATTCTGCATCTGGCTTTGCTTAGTGCTATGCAAATCATTATATTTTGTTAATTTTCTTCCCTGACCTTGCCCATCTTGTTACAATGAAAGTTCACTTGGCAGCTGATAAGAAAGCAAACAATTGTAACACTGAGTGACTAAGCAAGAAAATATATGCAAGCCATTTGAAGGTCTTGGAAAACCCAAACATGGTTTTACACTGCTCACCCACAGACTAAGCAAAAAAGGTTAAAAAAACTTGTAAGTTTTCACTCTCAACATCCAAAAGCTGGGAAGGTGCTAGAATTTACACAGGATGTGCACAAGAAAGCCTGGACTAGGATCAAAAGGGCAGTAGAGAAGTATATGGCTGCAGAAGGACCAGCTTCACCAGAAGCTACAGAGCTGCACTGCACTGTAGCTCCCAGGGATTCCCACGGGATTTCAAGGGCAGGGCTGCCATCAGAGCTGCGCTGACACAGATGCTGGCAAGCGTCACCATTCCTGCAGCAATGCAGGCTGCCATGGACAGGGGCTGGGAACTACAGCAGCCATGGGGCTACCAACCAATACCAATTGTGGGGGCACAGAACAGGCTGACATCAACTGGGCTGGGCCTGCCCCAGGGATGGCAAAGGCACAAGGCAGACACCAGGCAACAAGTTCAGTTAAATCTGCCCTTCAAAAAAGCTGATGTGTTCAGAAAAATATTTTAAAAACAAACCTAAACAGCATAATTACTGCTTTCTGCATGCTTGCAATTCACTAGTCAGTCATTCCTTTTTCATCACATGAATGACATCACTGTCAGAAATGATTGCCTGAGGACCTAGACTGAAACCAGCTCTGCAATCACATTAAAAGGTCTCCTGTGGAGATCCAGAAGCAGAGTTTAAATTAGCTTTCAAATTATTTTTCCAAATAAGAAACACAATAAGTGAAACACCTCAACAACGACTAACCACTCACAATTAAAAACATAAAAGTAATAACTTTATTCTACAGACTCAACAATTTTAGTAGGGAACGAGCATTGAATGAAGATGACTACAAATGAAAGACTATCAAAACCCAAGAGTGTACTGAAACACTTTAAAGGCTTCACCTTAGCTTGTGTGAGTGAGGAGTAGCTGTACATATGTGGCTACACAAATAAGCCTGCAGGTCTTTCCTGTACATTTCAACAGTACTCACAAATTGTGCAAGATCAACCTTTGGTGTTCACTCTTGGCATGTACCAAACACACTTAGCAAAACTACTGCATCTGCATAATAGACGAGTTCAAACTTTCCCAGGAACAACAGAACTATTAAAAATGCAGCTGCTGCTGTGGTATTGAGCCATCTTTAGTGTCTTCTAGGCCCATGGGATGCAGCAGCAGTTCAGCTCTTTTTCTTCCCCCTGACTTCTGGTAGGCCTCTGGTCCCCTCTGGAGCCACAGCAGACAATACCAGAGAGAGCCCTACCTTGGCACAGCCCAGTTCCAGCCTTGTCCCGTTGCTAGGGCTACAAGGCCACACATGAAACACGCCTCTATGCTGAGGGACACATGGCCGAGCCAAGGGGCTCAAAACAGGCCAGAGACTGGCATCATGCAAAGCAGGGTGGCATGAACATGAATTATTTTGTTCTAATTCACTATTGTCTGCATGCAGAAGCACAGGGTATCACAGTGCTCGTCCCTCACCTGGCGTTTTCGAGGAGATTACGGGGGGTAGCAGCTCTGCCCATTGTAAACCTGTCTGCTCTTCAACCACAGGTCCAGGACCAGAGCAGTATTTCTGGCTACCTTCATTCCAACGTTTTTACGAGCCGCTGGGCACCAAAAGCACTATTACACTTATATAAGATTATTGATCCTTTTTCTGCTGAAATCTTGTTACGGAGACATTTGTGACCTAAACAGATTGCTAAGAGCATCACCTAAGAGGCTTTTTGCATAGGAACATCAGCGAGTAGAGAATTCAGCTACTTTCAGGTCTCAGAGGAAACACTCCCTGATATAGCAAAATCACTTCTGCACACTGTGATTCGTATACAAAAGCTTCAAGTTATACAAATAAATTATTCCAAAGCAGTCATTTTATGTCAGTCATACACCCACGTAATGTCATCATGTACTTCTATTCCTCATGTAATTAGATATTTTCCCAACTGGAAAGAAAAAAAAAAAACAAAATAAAAAGCAAAAAGGCAAACTACAAAATAACAGGATCATTTCACAGTGATGCCATTTAAACTTTTACACCATGAAAACTGTAAAGATTAATAGAGGCAAAGCACATTTAATCTGAAAGCTTTTATTTAGAACTTTGTTTATGATTTGTTCTTATCTGAATCTCAATTATCTTCCATGGACTTTATATTCTTCTCAGAAAACAAGTGTCTTTGCTATATGTATTAAACTTACTCTTATCTTAAAACCGTGTCCTATAAGAAAGAGTGGTGTTCAGTGAGTTTATTTGTTATAAAAACATAGGTGAGAATTACTCTTCAGGCTCCAAATCAACTACAAATAAGCACAGATGTCTGTAAGCATCAAGCAGGTACTCACAAGAATTTTTAATTTGATTTTTTAAAAAATCTACTTTTAATTAATACTCGTTAGTTTCTCTTAGCCCTCAATAAATAGAAAGCGTAAGGCATGTGGAATCCAAATTCTTTAATGGAGCTGAAGCTAAAAAGCACCATCTGCCATGTACCCCGCGGTTTTCAACCGGGACTTTTTCCTTCGTCCAGATCAACGCAGGCGATCTGGCCACGGCTGCCGGCAAGTCACGCACGGGGAGAGCGAGCGAGGATGTGCAGGTGGAGCTGCGGACGCCGTGAGCGGTGAGGCCGCCGGAGCGAGAGAGGAGCAGCCCCAGGCCCCCGGGGGCACGGGAGGAGCGGCGGCGGGAGCAGCTACTTGCAGAGCCCCTCCAGCCGCTCCAGCGTGCCCTTCATGTCACGGATGCGCTTGGCCAGGGCGGGCACGGGCTGCATGGCGCGGTCCAGCTCCTCGCAGCGCGCCACCAGCGCGTACATGGCGCGGATGCTGAGGTCGGCCGCCTCGCCCAGGCTCTCCACGCCGTCGCGGTAGGTCTGGATGCAGCCGACGCTGAGCGCCGTCAGCGCCTGCAGCCCGCAGTGCACGTTCCGCAGCAGCTCGTCCACCTGCGCCGCCACCTGCCCGGCCAGGGCCACCACGTCCTGCAGCGCCCCGGGGTCGATGGCGGGGATGGAGGACCCGCCGCCCCCCGCCGGAGGCTCGCCCCGCGGGGCGCCGCTCAGCCGGATCCGCCGCTCCAGGTTGTTGGCTACGAACTGAGTGAGGCGCCCTTCGCGCAGCACCGTCCCCTCCAGTTCCAGGGCGCTCGCCAGCGTCGCCCGCCGCCCCTCCGACAGCTGCCGCCCCGCCACCGCCGCCCCTCCGCCGCCAGCCAGGCTGAGCGCCTCCAGGCTCCGCTCGTCCCGCCCCCGCCCCTCCGGCGGCGCCGCGGCCGGGCCCGGCTCCTCCATGGCGAGCGACGCGTGCCCGCCTGCTGCCACCGCCCACCGGGGGCGCGCCGACGCCTGTTTACGTCTCCCGCGATTGGCTGAGGGGCCCGGGGAGGCGTGGCCTCGTCTGCTCGTGCGGATCCCGATTGGTCGGTGGAGCACCGCCCGCCTGCCGCGCACTGCGAGCCCGTGACTCGGAGACCGGGAGGGCGTGTCGGCCCGGATTGGGCGGCCCCTAAGGAAGGCGTGGCTTCGAGTGTTTGTGTCGCTTTCGATTGGCTGGAGCCAGGGCAGAGAGGCCGCTGCTCCCCCGTGATTGGCGGGGCGGGGCAGAGAGGGGCGATGCTGGCGCCGTCCGCGCACGGCGGTTGGCGCGGGGGCGGAAGTGGGCGGGACGCAACCGGGTAACAACACCGGGGAGCTGCTGGTGGCTCGCCTCACTCCCCCGCCATGTTCTCCTAGCGGCGGCTTCGGTTGCGCCACCACTTCCTCACCCCGTCACAAAGCCCGGGCAGACCCTCCCCAGCAATCCGACCCGCTCGTCCCTGCTTGGGCTTGACCCTTCTCCCCGGCACAACTCTGGGTACCCACGTCCTACCATGGTTACCACCACGGCGCCGCCGCCCTTCCTGGCTCGGATCTCGGCGGGCACCGAAGACCCGCGGCGGCTACCGCCCTCCGCCCTGCTCCAGCGCCTCCGGCGCGGGGACAGCAACTGCGAGAACCAGCCCAGCTGCTGCCTGGCGGGCCCGGGGGGCAGCGCCCGCCCCGCGCTGAAGAGGGTGCGGCGGAGGAAGGGAAAGATCCGGCCCGGGCCCGCGGGGCTCCTGCCCAGCCGCTACCAGCAGTACCAGCAGCACCGCGCCGGGCTGGGGAGACGGACGCCGCTAGGAACCGACTTGGTGACGGACGCCCCCCCGGAGGAGCCCCCTGCGCCTGCCCCCTCGAGACCCGCGCCCGGCAAACCCCTCAGGAAGGAGGTAAAGACAAGGCTGCGCTACTTTTCCTCACTTCAGCCCGCTCCCGGTGCCCGGCGAGCCGGCCGACGGCTTTCCCTTTCCCTCGGGGTGGGGGGGAAACAGCGAGCGGGGCGCCCCCTCAGAGCGGTGAGGGGGGGGCGGCAGAGTTTCCGTTACGCTCGGGCGGGGCGGGGCTGAGGGAGAACCGCGGGCGGTGATTGGCTGCCCGGCGCCCACCAATGGGCGCGCGGCGCTGCGCCCCAGCAACAAGCCGGATTTAGCGCTGCCGCTGGCCGCGCGCCAGCCCCGCCCCGCGCTCGCCGAAGGCGGGACGTGCGCGGCGCGCAGCGCCCCATGGCGGCCGGCGGCGCTCCGCGCCCTCAGGCCCCCGGCGCCGGCCGAGCGGCGGGATGAGCTGCGGGATAAGCGAGAAGTAGCGGGGAGAAGGTTTCTCGGTACCCCTCCCCCTGCCGAGGTGGCCCCCCGCTCTTCAGTAAGTGTCGGGGGCGGTGAGGGAGCGCGGAGGAGAGGGGTCGTAGTTGACTTGATTGTTCTTTGTCTCCGCAGTTCTTAAAAAACAAGATGGGAAAGACAGAGAAGGCGGCCGTTCCCTTCGGCCAGCCCGTTCACAGCTTACACCTGTGTGAACAACCAAAGATTAACAGGCAGAAGAGTAAGTGTAACACGCCAGTGACGAAGATCGCCTCGGCGAAAAAGATAGAGAACTTTTGGCAGGATTCTGTGTCGCCAGAAATAGTTCAGAAGCAGGAGAAAAAGCCACTTAAAAACACAGAAAACTTCAGAAATGCCAAGTCCAAGAAACCTATCGCCCTAAATGAAGTGAGCCAAAAAGAAAATTACGCTGGGGCAAAGTTCAGTGACCCACCATCTCCCAGTGTCCTTCCAAAGCCCCCCAGCCACTGGGTGGGTGGCACAGCTGAACTGTCTGACCAAAACAGGGAGTTGATGGCAGTCCATTTGAAAACTCTCCTAAAAGTTCAAGCGTAGTTTCCAAGATCTCTTGAGTAATTGGCAAAGAAAACTCCATCCAGGAAACTTAAACATGCCTTGTTGCAACAAAAATTGCAAAAGACTGTCAAGTCTTATAATCACATAAAAAAAATCCTTGTATTATATTTTTTATGGTTGTGTAAATAGTGTACATCTTGTATTATGTGTATATTCTTGTTCATACTTTGAGAGGTACATTTTAGTTTTGTTATGAAAGGATGTATTTTGCACTGCCTGATTGGTAGATGTCTTGTATATAAAATATGGACAATTTTACGTGTGTGCTTGACACATGAAGACTTGACTTGCTTTGCACAAGGTAATGAAAATTTTGGAAGGAGAGTACAGCTTTCTGATTAAGGTTCCAGATCAAATGTGAATGTTCTATTCGTGCACTACTGACAATAGTTTTACATTCTGTCTCCCAATCAAGTATTAACATGGAATTTTCATACAAATGTGAAGTTTTGCCCTCTGCTCTGGAAACTATCTGGAATTCCTGTTCATCTGTTAGTTTTTAAAATTAACTGGAGTTTGACTAAAATTCCAACCCACCAATTTGAGCACTGCTGATTTCTTTAAAAAAGTTTAAAAACAAAAAACAAGGAAAAAAAAAAAGGAAAGAGCAGAGCTTTCTGCCAAAAATTCAATTGGTCACTAAAAAAATTAAATAAAACAATTTGGCCTCCCCTTATACATGTCTCTGTTTTTCTTTGAGTGTGTGTCTGTTAATTCGAGTATGTGAATTTAAATCACTTGATAGGCTTTTAGTGCATTGGTAGAAATACTTCATCTTTTATTTATCTCAGGGAAAATTAGGAGATAAATAATGCACCAAGAATTCCTTATGTTTAAAAAAAATGCCACCTTTGTGACAAATCGTTCCAGGATTGTTTTGTTTGTTGAAAACGGAGAGTTCAAGCAAGTTAGGCACTTAGACATTGAAATTCAGGCGATAATGCTCCTTAAACGTTTTCATAGTATGTGGCTATTAAACGAGTCAACACTGAAAGTAAGCAGTGACAGAAAATGCATGGAGCAAGTCGAATTTTGTGTTTTCACCAGATTTGTCTCCTGCTCACAGCTATGCTGGAAAATGCATCCCCCTGACTTAAAATTCTTAAGGAATTGGACTGTAGATTAGTCTGACAGGCATGTTGAGGAGGTAACAGATTTGCAGTTATTTTCCTAATCTAGTGTTTAAATAAGATTAATACTAGGAAGTCTGTGAAATTTACATAAGCTAGAAAAGCGTTTTTAAGTTTTTGGATCCACCAGAAACGATACACTGTCTGTTCGCTGGTGTCCTAGGAGAGGAGAGGTACGTAGGAAGAAAAGGGCTGAGGTGGCTCCCTGGTGTGAGCAGCATCTTCAGAGACAGACTGAGCAGCATTAGGTGTGTTTGTGCTGCAGCTTTGGCCCAGAGCATCGCTGCATTCCGCACGGGGCAGTTGGCAGGGTTCATTAGTACAGCCCTGACACGAGCCTGATCAAAAGCTCAAAAATTAAGGGGTTTTTGGCTTGCCTGTAGATGTTGGTTATGTAACTGTAAAATTAGGCTGTTTAGCTATCGATGCTCTAAATTAAGGGTTGATACAAAATTTTTGGTTTACTCCAAAGAATTAGAGGTTCACGGTCTTGCAAAAGAGAATGGTATTGGTGTACTCGAGGTCAGTGTGTGGCTTCAACAACCCAGTTTCCTGCCTAATCTAAATACTCTCTAATTTGGTGTCCCCCATTTTCTATTCTAAAAATGAACAAAACCCCTCCTGGTTTTCTGTTTGTGGGATGAATTTTTTTAAATAAACAGTATTAGGGCAAAGAAAAATGCCACTGGAATCTCGCCGAGGATGACTCAAGGAGACTGTAAGTCTGAGTTTGCTATATTTGGTAAATGCTGTATTGATCTGCCGTTGTGCTTTTCTCTTTTTTTTTCCCTTTTTTTTCTTTTGCCTGCGTGTCACCCAAGTGACAAAACAAAATGTCTTACCCATAGCTTTAGGCAATGGTTAATTTGGTCTGGTCGCTGTGAATCCTGCTAACTAGCTTGACAGAGGGCGCGTTTCCATCAGCCAGTGCGCTGGCATTGTTTAGAAGGATGTGTCCTCTATCCCCCTGATTATTATCTCATTGCCAGCAGCCTCTTCCCTGCCTTTCGGAGCTTACAGAGTGAATGCTAGCTCTGATCCTGGATAAAATTTATCAAAGTCGCCTACCTCTTTGTTCCTGCCCTGATGTGCCAACACATCCCTTAGGGTTAAAGAATCCATTAAATGTTAATTGCCAGTAGTTCTCAGCTCCTCAGTCAATTCTTTGAGAGCTGCTGGTTGAGACTTCTGAAGTGTTGGGAACATAAAACTTCCCATAACTTGTTGGACCCTAAAGGATAAGATAACAATCTGGTGTTTCTAAATAGTAGCAAAAAAACCAAAGCTTACTTACCGCACGTCTGTGTCAATGATCCCGCAGAAGTGTTTGGAGCACTTCATATTTCTGTCATCCTGAGATCTTTGGGCTGAGCCCCTTCCTGCACAATGGACAGGTTTGTGTATTGGGCCTAAGGGCAACATGCACTTCAACATGACCAGCTGAAAATAAAAACGTAGTCATCCTTTAGGACCGTGTTCTGCACCTTACTTGTCACTTTCCTGCTTTTTTTCTTTATGTTTTTACAATATCATCTTACAGGAATTTTCACTCTCAAGATTTCCTTCACTTTAACAGATTCCTTATCCCAGTTTCCTGAAGAGGAGCCATTGTATTACATGAGCATACTCTTAAATTTTGAGTTCAGAGGCAGAAAAACATTAGTGTCATATTTGGAGGGCTTGTTTGCAGTGTGATATAAAATTATGGAGTGACACTTAAGGAGTGACCAGCCTTTAAGGAAGAAAATGAACAAAATCAGTGGATGTGTTATCAGCTAGTCATGTGTTTGCTGTACAGGAATTAAATAAATACCTTATTAAAATCTTCTGAGGTCATAAAGGAAACTGAACATTAGCTCTTCAGATAATGGAAATCCTTTCTGTTTGAAGGTCTAGTGCAATGCTGTGCAGAAGTGCAGGGGAATCTACTGAGAATTAGCTACCACCTTAATTTTAAACAGTTAAATGCTAATGCATTGACAGTCCTGAAATGTAGCTCTCATGGAGGACAGAGGTATCTGTTGTTGGGTTCTCATGCGTGGCTAAGGCTCAGCCCATTACACAGCTTCATTAATAATGGCTGCCTTGGTGCTCCAAGGCTGAAATGTTTCTGCCTCCTAATGCAACAGGAGCTAGAAATCCTGTGAGCATTTGAACTGTATTACACCAGGATCTCCTCAGAGATTTTGCTGAATTCTGCTGAATACTTAAGCAATCTGCATATGAGAGTGTAAATTTAATTTAATTCCATCTGATTAATATTTTATCCAAGGCATGTAATTTTAAACTGTATTTTAATTATTTTCAGATTTTTTTTTTTAGCTTTTGCATTATAAAACATTTGATCACTGTCACACTTTTGAGGATTTTTTTCTTATTTAGACAGTTTTGAAATCAAGTACAAAGTTGTATAGATTATATAAAGTCTGAAGATTATCGATTATATTTCATTGTAATTTTGAAAATAAGTTTACCTTTATTTT